AGACACAATACCGTGACTAGAACAATACACAAATAACCCGCATATAGGAAAGAAGAGATTACGACGACGTTTCGGTCCGACTTGGACCATCATATCCTCTGGAGGTTCTGTCTTTTATTCTCTTGCTTCTTGGCTGGCCAAAATCCTCACTTCTTTCTTGATACTTTTTCTCCTGCCCACCTCCGTCACCCTCAAGACTTCATCGAACGTGTTCGCTCTCTCCCGACCTGTAAGATGCTTAGTCTTAACGTTGAGTTCCTCTTCACTAACGTCCCTCTTGATGATGTTCTTGATTTTCTCAAAGAGAATGCCAATGAAAGGTTACTTCATCTCCTTATACCTACTGATGTCTTTCTTGATCTTATCCGCCTTTGTTTGGACTCAAATTCCCTTTTCTTCCAAGAGAAATATTATTCTCAAACCTTCGGTGTCGCTATGGGCTCTCCTCTGTCTCCTGTTCTTCCTACTACTGATGTGCGCCCTTCATTCTGGCTCCGCTATGTAGATGATATCTTTGTTCTTTGGCCTCATGGCTCTAGTCACTTCCAACCATTTCTTGATGCTCTTAATAATCTTGCCCCTTCCATTAAGTTTAAAACTGAATGGCACTCTAATTCCTTGCTTCCTTTCCTTGATGTTCATGTCCACCGCTCAGATACAGATTTTGCTTTTTCCGTGTACCACAAGCCTATGCACAGTAACATGTGCATTCACTACTTTTCATATCATGCTTCCTCTGTCAAGGAAAGTGTTATTTCCCTCTCTTTCTCCGTGCTCTCGGCATTTATGATCCTCAGTTCTTTGAATCAGAAATTTCTACTCATAGTAATTCATTTTCCCGTCTTGGCTACCCTTCCCATTTCACAGACTCTGCCTTCTCACGTGCTAAACGGACTTTCTTCTCTCCCTTCTCTCTGCCTTCACTATATTTCCAGTCTTACTAATGGCTTCGGTCAGATGACCAAAAGCTCTAACGGCAGGTCACCACCTGACTAAGACCCGCGTCAGGCAACACTTGTCCTGTTTCCTGACGAACCTTACCTAACCTAACCTAACCTCTCCGTTCCTTAGACATCAAACTTTATTTTCGCCAGACTAACGCTCTTCACACCACCCTAGTTCATACCTCTCCTCCCTCTATAGATGCTCTTGGTATCTACTCTATGTCTTGTTCCTCTTGTCCTCTTCAGTACTTTGGAGAAACTGGCCGTTCTCTTTCTGACAGACTCAGGGAGCACAAAAGTAGTGTTAGGCTTGCCGACAAAAACAATGTTCTTTTCTGTCATCTCAGAGGTCACAGTCATCCTATTGACTGGTCTTCTGCTAAAACTGTCTACCCTACCTCGGACTTTCACAATCACCGTCTGGTTGAATCCTCCCTTATACACAACTTTCCTTGCTTGATTCTTAGTCCTGGTTTTGTCTCTGCAGATTCCTTCCTTTCACATTACAATGTAAAATGCTCCAAACTTCAGCACACCCATGACTTGACCTGATTCATTTTTCCCCTTCTCCCTCTTCCCCTTTCCTCTTTCTTCTTTCTCCTTTGGGTTTTCTTTCTTCTGCCTTGGTTGTTTGGTCCATTATTATCCCCCCCCCTCTGTGTTCTTGTTTCTACCCTTTGTGGGCCCCTAGCTCCACTACTACTTCTACTACTACTACTACTACCTTAACCGCTACCTCTCTTCCTTTCCTGTACCTCCCTTGTCCCGTCCCTGTCTACTGGCCTATATATACTCCCTCCTTCTCTCCTTTTTGTTAATGTGACTTTGTAAATGGTCCAAGTTGGACCGAAACGCCGTCGTAAGCTCCTGTCTCCTATGTGCGGGTTATTTGTGTACACTATGCAAAACACTGAACAGGAGCCTGTGTGTACTTGCTGACGCCCTAGCCTCTGCTTCCACAATCTAGTCGCTGAGCAGGAAGCTCTATTTACAAGCTGGGCTCTAAATTGGAGTGCTTATGCTCTTCCTGACATATAAGCCTTGGCCCTAATTTAGCTGCCATCTCGGTCCTTCCTGCCATCTGCCTACCTTCTGCAGTACAACCTCACTCTCCTCATCAGCTGCCCACCACTGATCACTGCAATCCTCACACATCGACATCGACACCTACAGTACACCTGCACAATTTGCCCAGAGTGGATAGGCCACTTCCTTCCTTCCCCATCTTACCGGACCTCTGGTCAGACATTGGATCGCATCGCTTTTGTTACCCTACAAGCTAGTCGTTGAGCAGCAGCGACTATGTATAAGCCGGTGCCTGAGCGGGAGTGCATGTGCTCCTCCTAACACACCCGCTAGAGTACTTTCTCCACATAATATTCCTCCTCCATGACATAAGACTACTTGGTCTGTTCCATCTGTACTGTATTTACTTTTTTCTACTGTGTGAGCGTCTTCCACAGACTGTTTCCTAGGTAGAAGTTTCTACTACAGTTGGTAAGGTTAAACCTCTTCCGTTGTTTGTTTACTATGTTTTAGTTAGACATACTGTTTTCACCTAGACATTGATGAATGTAGAAGAGAACTCCTGAATCCTTTGTTCTTAGGATTGCCAGAAGCCCATATTTTGCAGCAGTTATTCGATTGATGTGCGCCTCAGGGGATGCGATGAGTATGATGTTCAGTGATCCTTTTCCACGAGTGAGGTTTGCAGCCTTTGACCCTCGAGTCTGTGTCCTTCCCGAAGATTGATGACTTTGCACCTGGTGGGGTTAAACTCCAGGATCCATTTGTCGGACCAGGCTTGCAGCCTGTTCAGATCTTTTAGTAGTCTTTCCTGATCCTAGTCAGCTTGTATCCTCCTCATTAGTTTCACGTTGTCTGCAAACAGGGATGCCTTTGAATCTATCACTTCTGTCATGTCATTCACATACAAAATAAACAGCACCTGACTCTTGGAGTGACCCAAGAAGAACCCCACCGGCACCAGCGCCCACTCTGACACCTCATCACGTACCATCACTCGTTGTTTCCTTCCTGTCAGGTATTCCCTGTTCCATTGAATGCTTTTCCTGTTATTGACCAGTCTCTTGTGCGGTACTGTGTCGAAGACCTTCGTACAGTCCAAGAAAATGTATTCTACCTCCTCGTTTCTCTCCTTCCTCGTCTCTCTCTTCTCTATCTTCTCTCTCTTCATCTCTCTCTCTTCACTTCTCTCCTTTCTCCTCTCTCTCTCTCTCTCTCTTCTCTCTCTCTCTCTCTCTCTCTCTCTCTCTCTCTCTCTCTCTCTCTCTCTCTCTCTCTCTCTCTCTCCTCTCTCTCTCTCTCTCTCTCTCTCTCTCCTCTCTCTCTCTCTTCCTCTCTCTCTCTCTCCTCTCTCTCTCTCTCTCTCTCTCTCTCTCTCTCTCTCTCTCTCTCTCTCTCTCTCTCTCTCTCTCTCTTCTCTCTCTCTCTCTCTCTCTCTCTCTCCTCTCTCTCTCTCTCCTCTCTCTCCTCTCTCTCTCTCTCTCTCTTGTCTTACTTCTGTTACCTTGTCGAAGAATTCCAGAAAGTTCGTGAAGCAGGATTTTCCTTTCTAGATGCCATATTGGTTGTCATGTATGAGCCAGTTCCTTTTTAGGTGCTACACCACTCTATTCCTGATAATCTCATCCATGATTTTACATACTATACATATCACTGACACTGCTATGTAGTTTAATACTGACTGTCTGTCTCCTTTCTTTAAAATTGGGACAACATTTGCTGTCTTTCACACCTCTGGCAGTCGTCCTGTTTCGATAGATTAGCTTAACATTGTTGTTAGCGGCACACAGTGTCTCTGCTCCCTCTCTCAGGACCCATGGAGAGTTGTTATTTGGGCCCAGCACCTTCGGTTTATCTTGTTCACATTAATAATTTTGTACCAAAAGAACCTTAGAAAACTTACCTAATCTTATTATAACAAGCGTAATATAATGTAGCCTAAACCAACTAAATATATTTTAGATAAGTTTAGAATAATTTAATAATATACAAACACAATGAAATATATTTTTTTTCGTAAGGTTCAGAATGATTTTTGCGAAATTATTGCATTCATAAATTTTCTCAAGTTTTATCTATTCGGCACGGCACGCATATATATATATATATATATTTGTAACCACGAACAAGTGGTATTGATCAATAACAACACTGCGCTAGCCAAGGATTCGAACCCATGTTGTACTGGCCTGCCTCATGGTAAGCGAGAACCACATGACGCTTTAAACCACTGGACCACCCAACCCTTGTATATGGTAATTTCTCATTTACAGTATCCGTAGATCTGATGTAGAGAAATATTTTTGAAGCTCTAGTGTTTACTGAACTCATACACAATACTTGACCACATCCTCATTGTACTGCTAAAATATCCCAAATAAGCCTGACGGTTAACACAGTCTTATATACAAAAAATATTCACTGTGATGGAATGTATCTGGGAAATAAAATCATCTAGAAAGACGTAGAATTAGGGGGGATATGATTGAGGTGTATAAATGGAAGACAGGAATAAATAAAGGGGATGTAAATAGTGTGCTGAAAATATCTAGCCTAGACAGGACTCGCAGCAATGGTTTTAAGTTGGAAAAATTCAGATTCAGGAAGGATACAGGAAAGTACTGGTTTGGTAATAGAGTTGTGGATGAGTGGAACAAACTCCCGAGTACAGTTATAGAGGCCAGAACGTTGTGTAGCTTTAAAGGTGGGTTGGATAAATACATGAGTGGATGTGGGTGGGTGTGAGTTGGACCTGATAGCTTGTGCTACCAGGTCGGTTGCCGTGTTCCTCCCTTAAGTCAATGTGACCTGACCTGACTAGGTTGGGTGCATTGGCTTAAGCCGGTAGGAGACTTGGACCTGCCTCGCATGGGCCAGTAGGCCTTCTGCAGTGTTCCTTCGTTCTTATGTTCTTATAACGGTGTACACAATGAAACTATGATTTAATATTGAACACAAACGCAATCTCCATATACATAGATTTTTTCAGACAACTCACTGACTGTCCTTGTTGGTGTTGTGGGTTCACAGGGTGAGGAGCTGCAGCAGAACGTGAGTGCCGGGGTAATGGTGGTGGGTCGGTCGCTGGTGCTGCAGAAGGTAACAAGGAAGCAGGCTGGAAGCTACGCGTGTGCAGCCACCAACACCCAGGGTTCCAACACCTCTTCTGCCATACTCCTCTCTGTCAAGTGTGAGTCACGGCGGCTGTCAGTCAGCTATCAAGCTTCGGTGTAGTTTGATTTTCTTCTCTTAAACTATCGTATGGGGAGAAGGCAGAGGTGCCTTTATGATAATGAAGGGATCTTGGCCAAAGGAAATGGAGCTATTTTATTCTTGAATCAATCTGGATTACCCTCACCCATCCCATTCTTCAGGTCATATTATAACACTTACGGGTTTAGCTTTATCCTTGAATATTAAACAATAGTAAATATCTCCATAAGTTTTTTTTTAAATAGGGATAAATTTAAATTATCTTTTTTTTTAACCTCAATTTTGGCCGTCATGCATTAGATTTTTCTTTGAATGATGTTTAAATAATGTACATATTTAATGGGACAGTGATGAAATAAGACATTTATTTGAATAATTAATGTTTGAATAATTAATGATAGATAATCGTTTTAAAAAGATGTATGATTACCCTTTGCTTTTATAAGTATTGCTACACGCTTAGGCATGGACTCAACCAATGCTGAACACATATTGGCAAGTTCTTCATCGTGGTACCAGATCTTAACAACAGCAGAAATTAGCTTCACAGAACATTTAGCCCACTCTCTTCGTAGAATGTCAGAATTTTTCTGGATGTGTGGCATGGAGCAAGATCCTGCTGGAAAATGCAGGATCTTGCTGACAGGCTTGTCTACGCAGGTTCCAATTATAGATAGTGGAATGTTTCTTATATCTTCTCCATGCCTTGTACTTAGCAGCAGCGGCCTCTCGACAACGAAAGTCGTATGAAGGCTGATCTGAAGGCTTCGTCACGTATTGCCGATGAAGGATGTATTTGTATTGGAGACTAAGGACATGTTCAGTGAAGGCATTCACTTGGTTATCAACTCATTTTGGAAAATGGCATTTTAATCGGTGGCTGCAAGCTCCGAGCAAAGGGTTGGCCAGTTTCCCCTTTCCCACAGCCAGGTTTTGAGTGTAGATTCTTCACCTCCTTCTGTTGAAAGCTTAAGTCTCGTAAATACAATGTTGAGGTCAGAAGATCAAATATAGCCAAGGTGTTGGTAAGTGACTATGTTTCAGATAAATCACTCACTACTAGGTCAAGGAGGAGACAGAGATGGGAGCAGAGAAATCAACAATGTTTTTCATGTCAGACACACAAGGAATTCACCAAAATCCCTTTGTATAAGATGTTGGTTGAAGTCACTAACAATTATAAGTTGACATTTATGCGAATCAGAAGAGAATCAACACTTCCCATCAGAAAGTCACTATGAGAATCTGCTAACTGCCACTGATGTCTGTACATTTCAAACGCTAGTAGAGTTACTATGTTTTACACATAGCCTGTAGAACATAATTTTCATTTGACTTGGAAGGGCAATATCAGTGAGTTGGGCATATTCACTTTTAGAAAAGCATACGCCAACACCTCCTTGACTATGACTATGGTAGACTGGCTCCTCATGATTGTGTTTAGTTTGAATATATAAATGTGTAAGGTGCTTCCCCTTGAAACAGATGGGACACGGGGGTAGACACTGGGACATAGCTTCGTGCTTTTGTATAGGGCACAAAACCACCTGCTGAGCCGGGTGAGTGACATGTAAGCCTGTTCACCAGTTCTGAGATCCTGTTGGCTTGTTCCATAAAAAATCTCAAAAGAATTGGAGTTCCTGTCTTTCAGGTTTCCCTTTTTTTATGACGGTGGTGTTCTTGATGCCCTGTCTTGTGGCAGTAATTGCACCTGATACCTCGCGGGTAGTTGTCAGTGGTGTGTCCCCTCTGGTGACAGCGGGTGAATTGCCTAGGTGCCTCTGAGGGTGGTCTCCTATTTCCTGCACCTCTTGTGTTTTGCTGCTAATTTAGCAGCTAATTTCTCTCTATACTCTACTGCTGGTGAGCCTAATGATTGTGTACCTGGTGGGAGTTTTCCTGGGACTATATTGGTGGGAGTTGACATGGCTGTGGGTGGCTACCACTTTGTCTTCCACTTCTTCTTCCACTTCCTCTTCCACGTCCTTTTCCACACTCTGTTCCATGCCTCTTCCTGCCCTACAAAATACTTTGCGGCTCGTGCTTGGACCTGAGTTCGGGAACTGTGTCAGACAGCTGACTGTTGGCTACAGCAACCTCTAGTGGAGTAAAACCTTGCTCGGGTCGGCAGATGGAGCATTGCTGCCAAGTGTACCAGTAGGTGTTTTAACAAAGATGTCAGGTACTGATATATTTAGGAGGACAGCTGACGTATCCAAGGGTTACTTCTAATGCTGGATAATGGAGCTGTCACAGTCACGGGGTTCTACTTTTTTATATTTTATGGTTGCAGTACTTTGATCCTCTGATTGTAGCACTGCATTCATTGAGACAGAGCACATGGGAAATTGGAATATTCATCTAGAATGCATTCGACTATGTTATCCATTGTTTTATGCAAGTGGACATGTTCTCTATGCCAAATCCTGCCAGCTCTATCTCCAAAATGGCAGACAATGAATTTCAAAGATCAAATGAATGTGATGAATGGCTTTGAAAACCGACAAGTTGAAGAATTGAGACATTTATGCAACATATAGGAATCTTTACTGAAGAAACGTTTCGCCACACAGTGGCTTCATCAGTCACTGTGTGGCGAAACGTTTCTTCAATAAAGATTCCCATATATTGCATAAGTGTCTCAATTCATCAAATGAATGCCTCACAATTCGACGTTCAGAAAAGTACTGATGTGCTGCATAGTCTGACGTGACTGTCAAGCAAATGTTAATAAAGAACAGGAAGAATATTGGAGGTGTCACTCACGGAAGAGGTTTCACACAGTGTCCTAAATAAATGGGTCTTCCATTCACCGGTAACACACCATGTATGCCAGAAAGTAGACGAGATGTGCTGAGTTCAAACCAGAAACTGTTATAGAAACTGAGAGTTTCGCAGACAGCAAAGGGTGAAAACGATGCTCAGAAGATTGATGTATGACTTCAAAAGCACTGTCCATAAGAAAGCATTATGGTAAAGATATAACAGTAACCTTTTATGGATATTCGACAAATTAGATTAGTATAAAAGGCAATGAGCATTAATAACGACCTTAGAGGCTCATTTAATCTATAATATTATTTGATGAAAATACTCCTCTAAGTGTGCCTCAAAAAAAGTTCTTAAGTAATCTGAAGAACAAGGACTTTGTAGTTATTCAATTGAAACAAAAATTCCATTATGATGGTAGTGAAACACAGGTTGCCAGAGATAATGCTGATGTATTAATTATTCAAAGTGCAATCAGCAAATGTGAAACAAACGAGTCAGTTGTTGGACAGGATGTGGATCTTCTTACTATGCTTATTGCTCTTATTCCAGAAAACAGAGATCTTATATTTTTACATGAAGAAGAACGAGTGTATAGTTATTTAGACCTGAAATATTCCACCATTGTCAGTAACATTAAGGAATTAATTTTGTGTGATAATGTGTTCAGTAGAAGCGATGCCACATCCACTCTATGGATTTGGAAATGTGTATGCGACTGTTTCCTCAACAAAGCAAATGTTGTTCAAGAGACTGTTGATATTCAACAATCCTTAGTCAGCTCGTGATGAAGTTGCAGCAACTGTAAAAGACTCATCCTCGTTTCATGTAAATCAGCCAGTGCAACAAATGGCAATCATCGTACATTTGTATCTTTTAACAGAACAGCCAACCACTAAAACCGTCACAGTTCTTATCAAGTCTTCCTGCCACCTCTTCAAGGCTTCTAACAACAGTCTTATTGTGTTTATAACTAAGTTCAGACGTGGCGAGGAAACACTGCAGCCTGAGTTGTGGTGCTGCAAAAGACATCAAAATTCTTTCTCACCTGTCTATACAACTGAGGCACCCGCTCCACCAGAGATTTTGAAAGTTTTCTCTTGTGGCTGCAAATTAAGTTGTGGGAAGCCGTGTGGTTGAGCAAAAGTTCATTTAGTCAGTTCTTTTGTGTCAAAAAAATTGCCAATGTTTAAATTCTGGCACACAGGAGGATCCCACAACTTTGGCATAACAGATGAGGAGAATACTAATTTTTAATCCTAAGATAAATAGGAACTGAGAGGATTAGGCTCACTCAGGAAACCAGTCAGCTAAAAACCGTTGACTGAGGCGCTGATCCACAGCGAGGATTGGTCAGGGACCGACCGGCGGGGGCGTTGATCCCCGAAACACCTTCCAGGTACGCAGTTTATATGTGTATGAATAAAGAATATTATATTTTAAAAATATAAATCTCACTTTCCAAAACAGAGAATATCAAGCTATATAACTTCATCGTTATTCCTTTCACTTATGATATATTAACATAAAAAATAAACATAACTAGAAACCCGGCAGTATACTCAAATTCTCCATCAATATTTGCTTTGGCTTATACAAAAACCATAGCATATGCGGCAAATATGCATAGATGCAATCTTGTTCACAATTTATTTTCCAAATTTTCTCACGATATAAACGTTTATGGCCAGAAGCACCATTTTGCAAATAACAAGGAAAAACAAGTGTAACGTAAAATATTCAGGGAAGTATTTACTGTGTAAAAAAAGGGGGTCGTTGCACCAGTACGGAAGGAAACACTTATAATCTTCAGGAAAATATGTGGTAATATTCATCTTTTTTTATGAATAATTTCCGCTATCTCTCCTAATTCGACCGGACTATGACACGGGTCTTACTCATAAGAAGATCCACTTAGTGGGAGTTTTAATTTTGTGACTGAGGCCTTTCGCTGGCTTACTTGTACCCCCGCCCCCTAATATCACGTCAGATGATGAGATGCCCTGTTTTAACTCTAAAAAAAAAACAAAAACCTTTCATTTAATCCTAAGCAAAACTTTGTCTAGAAGATTCTTAACACAAGATATGCATATATCATAATAATTAATGTGTGTACTAACAAATTTCTCAGAGATGAGCAACACATTGAGGTAAGTTATTACTGCAGTTGCAAGGTAGTAAGGCACTGCTAACATATTTGGCCAGCTATTCAAGGTAAATAATGGTAATTAACAGAGATAGTTGATGTAAGGTTCAAGTTGCAACAGTCGCAACACAGGTAGCTGTTATGTGTGTGTGTGTGTGTGTGTGTGTGTGTGTGTGTGTGTGTGTGTGTGTGTGTGTGTGTGTGTATGTACATGTTTCTATGTGTTTGTGCGCTTGTGTCTATATGTGTGTGATGTGTTCGCCGATCTGTACTCACCGGGGGTCGAGACCTGGATTCTGGCCCAGTGGCCTCTTAACCATATCAAGTCTTCCCTTTAAACTTTGTTTGGCGTTCGACTTCACTATTTCCACCACAGGACCATTCAACTTTCCTGCTACCTTGAGAATGAAAAAGTACCGCCTAAGATCCCAGTCATTCAAGTGTGTTTTTAATTACGTTCTTTGGTCTCTTGTTTGTAGGCCTTGTATTATTAAGCAAAAGTCTGCCATTACAGCCCAATCAGTTTCTCCGAGTAATTTATTGATTGTAATCATGTCTTCTTGTCCTACAGGGACGTCAGATATGATTTCTTTAGCCACTCCTCGTAAAATATCCCTCATTGCTTTGTAACTCGTCTCGTACTTTTGAACATGCTTAGCTGATTGTGGAGTCCTAGCTGGTGCTGAGTATTCTCACCTGTGTCTCACTAAGTTGCGTACAGAATTCTAAGTGATTCTGTGCTGAAATTCCTGAAGGCAATTCTAAGTGTGAACAAGGTAACATTTATGAATGGATTCGGAGAAGCCGGTTAACCGGACTTGAGTCCTAGAGGTGGGAAGTACTCTGAAGAAGGAGTATATATATATATATATATATATATATATATATATATATATATATATATATATATATATATATATATATATATATATATATATATATATATATATATAGTACTAAATAAACCCGATTGGGACGAACTCCCTTTAAAACAAAGCTTTTTCAAGACACTTTTTTACAGATTGATAGTTAATCTTTAATCGTCGACAATGATATAATGACACACACACACACACACACACACACACACACACACACACACACACACACACACACACACAGGTTTGAGCTGTCTAATATGCAAGCAATATGAAATTCTGAATTCTAATATACTGTGTTTACTTGTTGAAATTTTAATATAATTTTCGTACAGTATATAAATTTTAGTCTGGAACTGTAATCTAATGTCTGGAAAATAAGGTTTAGATGGTTTATTTCCTGACGTATGTCACTGTTATTTACGTCACATTTTTTTCTAGTTTGAACATTTCTAAAAATATCTATCATTGACGTTCGAACGATTAAACTGCTAAATTATATTTAACCACAGAGGTGGTATAACTGTTACTTAATATCGGAAATACCTCTCAATGTTTAAATAATTAGCAAAGTTAAAATATAATTAATTTTATGGATAACTCTGTTGTAACGATTTTAAACAGTGTGAATGTTTTTATTCAAGAAATTTATATAGTAAACATCTTAAAGAATTGTAACCAGAATTATTCGAGGTGACAATATGTTATTTGAATTTAGTTTAAACAGTGATTAATGGTATCTATTCCATAAAAAAGACTTTGAAACAGAGACTCAAATGCAGTGTAATGAGACCCCGAATCAAAACGTATGTCAGAACTCCCTTTTGTTTCTGTTTCTATCGTGTTTGTATTTTATGCCCTTCCTCTCCTAGAAAGAAACCTAGAAATTTAATCTCCGTATCGAAAGCAAAGGAAATTGGGCATAAGTTAGATCTCTCTATTGAAGTTTTCGTATGATGTTTTATAAACAGGGTAGGATCAATAGATAAAAAATTCACATCTTTATCTAGTTAATAAATAACAAAAAGGCACAATACCGTGACTGGAAAGATACACAAATAACCCGTTAAATGTTGCCATGTTATGAAGCGTTCTCTTGAAACCAACACTGACAATAAGTAACTTTTTGACTTGTTTTTGGGGTAGTTATCCTAGGAAATTAACACTGATAATTATATAATTGTACTAACGTGTACCTGTGCCTAAATGAACATATTTACTTGCTGGATGTGTGAACTTTTAAGGGGATATAAGAGAGGTATGCACAGCTATGACACTGGTAACAACGACTGCATCTGGTGTGATTTTCCAGACTCACCTGTGTGTCGAGTGGAGCAGACTGACGTTTATGGAGTCGGGCGGCATGAGAAGACGACAGTGACGTGCCGAGTAGAAGCCGATCCTCCCGTCACCGCGTACCGTTGGGCCTTCAACAACACCGGAGAGTTCGTTGACATACCCTAGTGAGTTCCCCTTCTAAAGCGGTTTGTTGACTTCCTTTGGTGGGTTCAGCCCTTCAGTCAGTATGCTGACATCCTCTAGTGAGCTCTCTCCTTTCATGCAGCCATTGACGACCATCCTCAAGAATTTTATGCCCCTTGAGAGTTCATCCTTAAGTTATTTATGCGCCTAGACCATTTTCTATGCATGACACAAATTTCAAGACGGGTTACACCACCTTAACGGCACCTCATTCCTCTTTTATTAAAACCTCACAGCTTTTATGATACCTCAAACACCTGTTTCATGACACCTCATCATCTGTGTCATAGCTCCTAAAACTTATTTCATGGCTCACATCACTGACTATACGTTACACTTCACATCTTTGTCATGACCCTTCACCTGGTTCATATTTCATATCAGTTTCCTTGCTCTCACCTTAGTTTTACTGTCCCTCCGTCACCTCGGCTTGTGTCTCTGTCTGTTCCCATCGTTTCTTTGATTCTAGCGTCTGCGTCTCTCTTCCCCAAGTATGTTCGTATGTTTCTGCGTCTGATTTTTTTCTGATCCTTGCGTTTGTTTCTCTGTTCCCCAAGTATGTTGGTCTGTTTCTGCGTCTGATTTTTTCTGGTCCTTGCGTTTGTTCCTCTGTTCCCCAAGTATGTTGGTCTCTTGCTGCGTCTGTTTCTCTGTTTCTGAGTCTATTTTTTTCTCTTCATGAGTCTGCTTCTCTGTTCCTGTGTCATTTTCACTGCTCCAGTGCTAGATTCTCTATTCTCCGCTTCTGTCTATGCTTCCTTGCTCCCATGTCCGTATTTTCTCATATTTTCACTTCTTTATGACGCTTCAATCATCTCCATAACTCACTTATTTCATGCTATTCAAATAGCATGAAATAAGTGGGTTATGGAGATCATTTATTACTATTATCATTGTTATTATTATTATTTTTACTATTCTTGTCTTAGGAAGGGAAGGGTAGTTCCAAATCCTTCGGTCAAAATCTCTTCACCAGCACTCAGGCAACTGCTTCCTGAATTCATGAGAGTTCATGTACCCCTACATGTTGACGATTTATTTACCCTTGCGGTGATGTCATGAGGCAATGACATAATAATATTTGCACCAGTGAATATTGTGTCCCTTTTTCCTGACCCCTTAATGTGTTATTGTATAGCCTTGCTTTTCGATTTTAGTATTTGCTTCTTACTCTTCTCTTCTCTTGTCTGTCTGTGTTTTCATCAGACATACGCACACACACACACACATACACACACACACACACACACACACACACACACACACACACACACACACACACACACACACACACACACACACACACACACCAGTAAATTTTATAAGCCTCAATCTCTTGTCTTTTGAACAGTGTGTTATCTAATGATACAGACCACCAACTGTGAAAAATATTTTTACATTTCTGTGTGTGTGTGTGTGTGTGTGTGTGTGTGTGTGTGTGTGTGCGTGTGTGTGTGTGTGTGTGTGTGTGTGTGTGTGTGTGTGTGTGTTACCATTCGACCTCTCGCCTTCCATTCATTTCCTTCCCTCACTGTGTACCTTCCAAAGTGATGGTGGGGAAAATACTGACCCACACGTTATCTCTACCCCTCTCTCGGCCCTCACCAACATGCCTTTACCCCCCTCTTATCTCTCTCTCTCTCTCTCTCGCTCTCATTCATGATTCACGAGAACCTAGATCTCTCCTGAGCATTCACCTTTACGTGCAGGGGAAAACAACAGCTTTCCTGTAGCAGAAGTCACACTGGCTCTGGCTTCCCATGACAGTGACACTATGGCTGCAGTGAATAAGGTGCTGATATATATATATATATATATATATATATATATATATATTATATATATATATATATATATATATATATATATATATATTATATATATATATATATATATATATGTATATATATAGATGGAAATAAATAATAATAATAATTCATGAACTTGGAACTGACATCATGTGGCAACCCATGAAATTAGGTGTTGAGTCACCTGCAATAATCAATTGGTCTTTATTGTCGTATTGATTTTATTGATCAGAATCATGCAGGTGTAGGAGGGAACTCAGTTTGTCCGACTCTTGGCTCTTGAGAGCCTTTCTGGTAGTAAGTTCCTTAAGTATGTTTCTTACGCTCTTGAGGTGGAAAGATTTTATTTGAAAGAATGAGGCATTTTTGCAACATTTGTGTATCTTATTTCTTAAAACGTTTCACCAGAGGAAAACGTTTCACCAGAGGAAAACGTTTCACCAGAGGGAAACAGCTGAAGATGAGGAAGAGTTTGAAGAAATCAGTTCATTGCATCTAGTTGATGTTTTCAATCCATCTATCGTAATAAAGTACAATCTATTCACCGAGAAAGGGCGAAACGTTTGAAGAATTTAAAATTAAGTCCTTTCATTAAAATCATTTAAAATTAAATTATTTCTAAAATTTTGTCTTATACGTTTAAAGATATATTTTTCTCATTTATGTTAAGGTAAAAATTAATAATTTTAAACCAAAATAACTTTGAAAACCTTATTATATCATGCGCAATTTAATTTAGCCTAATCCAAATAAATATATATTAGATCAGTTTACAATAATTTAATAATATATTTTGTCGTTAGGTCCAGAATGATTTTTGCGAAATTTATGCATGTACAAATTTTTGCTTGCCTTATTCGGCATGAAGAGCGGTGCTATTTAAGCCAGAATCACAATTTTTACCTATTCGGCACGACACACACACACACACACACACACACACACACACACACACACACACACACACACACACATATATATTATATATATATATATTATTATATATATATTATAATATATTATATATATATATATATATATATATATATATTTTATATATATATATTTTATATATATATATTATATATTTTATATATATATATAATATAATATATATATATATATATATATATATAATATATATATATATATATATATATATATATATATATATATATATATATATATATACATCCTATTTCAGTATACGTTGCTGTTTTGAAATCACATACATCAAAGGAGTTATAATCTTCGGAATATATACAAAGCATGCTCCACCAGGTTACACTCAACTTGTGTCATGATACGGGATTTACTGATTGACACCTGGGATCCATTCTGAATTCCAATAACGTCAGGATGGAGAGACGTCTCTGGCAACCAGTTCTTCAATTAGAGCAGCCAGTTTCACACGAATTACCCTTCAAGCGTTTCTGCGTGAGCGAAATGTCGCGCAATTGTTAATACTTGTGATTATCGGTTATTTTAGCTGAGAATAGGTTTGCTTAAGTTGGCGTATATTGACGTATAGTTCCGAATAACAGCCCGACAAGGGATAAATAAGGAAAGGAAGGATGGATCATATCTAGCGCCCCCCCGTGTCATATCCTGATATTTGAAGGATTTGTTTTGACAAACAGTGAAAGTTTTGTAGTACAGGTTGTCTAGGGCTGGTCTTAGGTTGTGGACACGTAATCTTCCCTAGCACCATTCCAGGGATGGTTTTGGGACCGTCCCAAGGATGGTTTTGGGACCATTCCAGGGATGGTTTTGGGACCGTCCGAAGGATGGTTTTGGGACCGATCCAGGGATGGTTTTGGGACCGTCCAAGAATGGTTTTGGGACCGTTCCAGGGATCGTTTTGAGACCGTTCCAGGGATGGTTTTGGTACCGTTCCAGGGATGGTTTTAGGACAGTTCCAGGGATTTTTTGGGACCGTTCCAGGGATTTTTTTGGACAATTCCATCGATGATTTTGGGACCGTTCCAGGGATGGTTTTGGGACCGTTCCAGGGATGGTTTTGGGACCGTCCCAGGGATGGTTTTGGGACCGTTTCCAGTGATTTTTTGAGACCGTTCAAGGAATGGTTTTGGGACCGTTCCAGGGATCGTTTTGGGACCGTTCCAGGGATTTTTTGGGACCGTTCCAGGGATTTTTTGGGACCGTTCCTTGGATGATTTTGGGACCGTTCCAAGGATGGTTTTGGGACCGTTTCAGGGATGATTTTGGGACCGTTCCAGGGATGATTTTGGGACCGTTCCAGGGATGATTTTGGGACCGTCCCAAGGATGGTTTTGGGACCGTCCCAGGGATGGTCTTATAATATGGTCTCGGCCTCCGTTCAGGGCGACAATTTTTTTTTATTTCTTTCGTTATTTAGTTATTTATTATTATTGTTGTTGTTAGTTATTATATTATTATTCTTATTTAGGGAAAAGCGTTAAAACCGAAAAGGTCGTACAGCGCCTGGAGACTATGTGGAAATCAGGTTCGATTCAAAGGAGGACACGTTCAGTTCCTCGGATCATGAGCCCCTTTCTCACCAACATCAAGGAACTTTCCTCCAGGGAAACAGTTTAGTAACCGTTCTTGCGGAACTCATCACAACGTTCTCCAAACTGCTATCACTCCTGTTCTAACTTCTCGGACAAGGTCCTCAAGATGTCTCGTCTTCCTCCCCATTCTTACTCAGTCTACGAGGCCCTTCCTCGGCGCCCCAATTCCTTTGCATAATGTCTTTGGAGTTGCAAGGACAAAGTGTCGTTAAGTCTGATGCTTACTTTAGTCAAGGATATTGGTCTCTTACACTCTCCTTTCTGTCTGTCTGTCTGTCTGTCTGTCTGTCCTGTCTGTCTGTCCGTCTGTCTATCTGTGTGTTTGTCTGTCTTTCTGTCTGCCCATCTGTTTTTATGTCTGTCTCTCTCTCCTCTCACATTTATATCTCCCGGCCTTCTCACAGGGTTAAGATCCTACCGTTATTTCACGTTAAGCGCCGTTACCTACCTCGATTTTTAATAGCCTTCATTAACATTATCATCATTAAGTTTTTACTGTTATAAAACGTACGAAAAGGGAAGAGGATGAAGTTGGAGCCAGCTGCTGGCCAGAGATTTCGTCAGACGTTATTTCATTAATGTTATCATTCGGTGCGAACATGTTCCAGACAAGAATCA